AAGGTGCTATACCATCATACAACGTATTTCTTATCAGATGGGGTAATTTTGAAATCGACTCAGTTTTAATTAATAAAGAGATTGCATTATTATTTACTAAGTGGATAGATAAGAAAACCATAAATGATATGAATTCAAAAGGATTTCAATACAACTTTAATCTTCTTTATCGAAGCAGCTCAGATGGTCTTTCAACTCAAAATTTTCATCGAAAATGTGATAATAAAGGAGCAACAATTGTTGTGGCTAAAATTCAAGATTCAGGTCAACTTGTTGGAGGTTACAATCCAACTGATTGGAAGGGAGATGATGAATACAGAGGCACAGCAGATAGCTTCTTATTCTTATTAAATCCAAATAACATTAAGCGTGCAATGATATCACGTATCAGTCATGATTATATTAATTATGCCATTTATTGCGACAAGAGTTTCGGTCCATGTTTCGGGGAAGCTGATTTAGAAGTTACAAAAAACAAGGAAAGTATGTGGAATTTTAAAGAAAAATCCTACTCTAAAATGGAAATTTCAGGTTTACACTTAATTTCAGATTATGAAGTCTTTCAAATAGTTAGTGTTACGGATAGTGATGCAGACTAAACGTTTAACATCACTATGTTTTGGGTTTATCACATTATTTTAACATATGTCGTAGTTAAAATTGTTAAATAAAATAAAGATATAGATGTTAAAAATGTTGATTAAGATAATAAAGATATAACTAGTATACAACTGTGGTTAAAATATTGATTAAAATTAATCTATTGTTATGATCAAATTACGTAAAAGTCAAACCACCGTATTATAAATTAAAACATCTAAACAATTATTTTAACTATTCTTATTTCAATATGTCAAATAATATTGATAATAATTTGAGTGCTACAAACGTTGTTCAGCTTCTTCATCCAATAAATTTGATTCTGGTAGTCGGTCTCGTAAAGAAGTATGAAATGGTTTATCGACATTTACCTGACAATCACTTACCCGACAACTATTTTCCCGATAATAATTATTTTCCTGACATAACCATTTCCCGGCAACCATTTCATCGAAATGACCATTTCTCCAACAATCACGTCGTGTAGGAAATGGTCATATCGGGGGAAATGGTTGTCGGGAAAATGGTTATATCGAGGAAAAATTATCGAGAAGATAGCTGTCGGGGAAGTGGTTGTCAGGTAAATGTCGGTAAACTCACACACGCACTATTATTCCTCGAAGATAGGGAAAAAATTAATTCACCAGGTAATTTAAGTCATCGTTTGTTTATTTAAAAGAAAATTCAAATTTATTATTTATATTCTGTAGCCTTAAACGAACATAAGCAGAAAAATTATAATTACCAATTATTATGGATTGATTATAATAGATTTAAAGACATCAAAAAGATAAGTAAAGGTGGTTTTGTAACAATATCATACTACTTTGGTGGAGTAATACACGCATAGATGTTGCACTTGAATTATTTCATGGGTCAAGATCTTATCAATGTTTCTACATCATTTTAATAATTCCGACCTTTTAACATTAAAGTTAAAAGCCAATTGGGACATTAGTTATAATAAGTCATCAACCTTACAATTTTATGGAATATCAAGGGATAAAACTTCTGACGATTATGTTCTAGTTTTGGAATATGCTTCAATGGGATCTTTGCGTCAAAATCTTCTTTGCATATTACAATTGGAATGGAAAGATAAATTATTCTTGCTGCTCTGTGTCATTTCTGATCTTTACATAGTGCATATATAGAAGATCTGGGACTATAAATGTAGAATCAAAAAAACATTCCGATGGAATTTATGGAGTTTTAGCGTATTTTGCTCCAGAAGTCTTGGAAGGAAGGAAAGCAATATACTAAAGTGTCAGATATTTATTCATTTGTAATAAATTTTATATGGAAAGCCTGTAACTTATAATCAAAATTTTGATTCAGGACTCCAGATTCAAATATGTTTAAACAACTTACGGCCCAAAGGTTGTGAAAGGTGCGGAATCATGTTTTATAGATCTTATGAAAAAATGTTGGGAAAAAGAGTCAGAAAATCGACCATCTGCTCAAGAAGTCTATGAAGCTTTTACAAAATGGAAACACAATGAAAAATCTTATTGGAACTCTCTAAATCAGATAACAAATAAAACAAATGATGAACTGTGATAATAATCATTAAGAAATTTATAGAAGTATCTATTAAACACGGCTAATGAAAGTTTGGTTCTATTTGGAGCTAATGAAATGTTAAACAGTAAATTTAGGCAAGTTTCATAATATTTTCTAAATTAGAGGTCGGAACCGGTTAGTATAATTCGGGTATAAATTCGGGTTAACCCGGTTTTAATAGTAACTCGATTTAATAGCAACCGGTTTTAATAGTAAATCGGTTTTATAGTAAATACTCTCTAATTTGGTTGTAAAACTCTGATAAACCGGATTTAAATTCGGGTTTATTATGAAAAATCTATGTTTCACAAAATCCGATTTAGATTCGGTTTAAAGCCAGCTCAATTCGGTTTTTTAATTTCAAACCGGTTCCGACCTCTATTCTAAATACAGTTTATTTGAAAATTCGTAACTAATCGCCGATTTTATTTACTGTTCTAAAGAATAATATTTAACATATGATGTCAAATAAGAAAGCATTATGGATTAACAGGTTACAATATTCCGTACATGAACAGTAAAAATCATAATTAAAACTAGAAACTGCATATGTTGGCGGCTTCGCTGCCCCAGTTCAACTAACTATTAAAATAGCAGACAGTGCAATAATAAGATGGCTTTACCAATTATTAATAATGGTTTATTTAATGAACAAATTTTAATTTTTTTTTAATGAAACGAATTTACTTTTCTTTTTTTTTTTTAAAAAAAAAGGGTTAAGATTCCATCTTTTTTAAAATTCAGCGCTCAATACATGAGAATTTAAATATAAATATGAAAGTTTATAAACAAAAGTTTATTATTTAGATTTTGACAGTTTTTTGCCAAGGGAAAACCTGTCACCTTATTTTGTGTACAGTTAGCCGTCTATGAAAAATCCATCATGATATAAATTATAGATTTTCACAAGTTTTCTTTGACGACACTCATATATCTCGGCCACACTTCGTCCAGCTCTTTGCAAACCCATTTCTACATTTTCTCTACATATAATGATCGTTGACAGATTTTCTTTACATAGTCACCAGCATCATTTTATTCAGAATTTTCAAACCCCAATTTGTATTTGTATTTTATTTATATTATAAAGCTTTTCGATACTGCCAGTCGTTCCACGGAAGCTCATTTAACCGGCATCAGTGTTTCGTCCTAAACCTCCCCCCAAAGTCCGAAACGTTTCGCCCCTGGAGTTTCGGTTTCGCCCAAAATCCGAAACCTCCGAAATGGGCGAAACCTCCGAAATGGGCGAAACTTCCGAAATGGGCGAAACCTCCGAAACTTCCAAAACTCGTCCTTCAAATCCTTCCAAACTCTCCATCTTTCGGAAAGTTTCGGATCTTTCCTCTATTTTTCTCTCCACCTTGCTCGTAATTTACGTTCTTTGATATTCTACTCGGAAAAATTCAGAATTTTCATCTTTCCTCAATTTACGTTCTTTGATATTCTACTCGGAATAATTCGGAAAGTTCGTCCAATTTCTAAGGTTTCGGCCTAATTTCGGAGTGCTTTTCACATGATCCGAAAATTTTCGTATTTTATTGGCTATTTGTTTCGGAAGTATTTAAGTATTTAGAAGCGATCGGCCGAAACACTGGTACAGACGTACATATTCTTAAAAAAAATTCAAAAAAAAAAAAGTTTCCTCTAGTAAGGCCACGCAAAGTTGATTTTTCGTTTTGCATTACATGGATTTCAAAATTAGGGACGGACGGACGGAATTTTTTTTTTTTTTAATTCAATTTACTGCAAATAGGATAATGATCACATTTAAGGTTATATTTGCACAACAAGGAATCAAAAAATTGGGCCGGTTTTCCTGTCAGTCCTATCGTGCAATTACGGGAAATTGAGGTGATACCGGATGAAAATAGTAGGAAAAAATAGATGTCAAAAATCGAACAATTGGCATAATTGGGATCTAAAAAAAAAAAAAAAATTTTGAAAAATTGAAAAAATGGGACGGCGGGTAATGCAAAACGAAAAATCAACTTTGCGTGGCCTAAAGCCCACTCCTTTTTATTCCACAAATTCGAATTTTAGTCATTTATATGAAACTTGGTGTTTATCAGTTTCGGAAGTTTTAGAAGTTTCACCCAGTTTCGCCCAGTTTCGGAGGTTTCGGAAGTTTCGGCAGTTTCGCCCAGTTTCGGAGGATTCGGCTTTGAGGCCTTTGGCGAAACTAGGTTTCGGAGGTTTCGCCAGTTTCGCCCGGCCGAAACACTGACCGGCATCATATAGGTTAGGCTAGAATTTGATTAGTTGCAGATATATTTTTTATCATTTAGCGTGGTGTCGGCTAAAAGAGCTACTGTATCAGTGAAATGATTGTCGGTGAAGGCTGATCCAAATTTTTTCATACAGTATTTTTCTCTGCCTCGGTTCAATCTTTTTTACTAAATACTAGAAAAATTGCATATGCCACCCAGTTTCAACTAACTATATAGTAATTGGTGCGATAATATAACATTGTATTGATAATTTGATGACGTACATACGGCGAAATTACCATCAATTATTATATTAATCGGGCATGCCATACGCTTAATTTCGTGATGATTCATCGATACGAGCGGTTTATGAATTATTCAAATAATTTAGTTTATCTGAACTAAGCTAATTAGTTTATTTTTTATTCAAATATTTAAATCAGGTTTATTTGAATTATTCAGTTTATTTTAATTTTTTTATCTTGCTAACCCATCATATTTTCTATATTTGTTGATTTACATTCCCGAAATTTCCTAACAATACCTATTTTCTCAAGATAAATTGCTGTACCATATATGTAACCTGATGGCTTAATTTAATACAACTAATTAGTACAGTATTTAATGAAGCTAATCACTAAATTTACAAATATTGATATCGATCTTGGGAATTTCATATTTTTCTTTTTCAACAAACTCACTTCCTCCATTACTCCATAAATTTACGCATTCATAAATCATGTCTTTGGCATCTTTAAATGGAATGAGATCTCTTTGGGAATTTGTACTTTTATTTGTTTTTTGCAAAAGATCAAAGACTTCAAATGGTTGGAATTGTTCTGCTTTTTCTTGTTTTGAATAATCATAAAAAAATTGCCTCGATGCACTCTGCTGGATGTACATGGTCAATGCTCTATATGAAACAAATCTTTCTTTTCTTGGCTTCATGGAATTTTCGTTAGAAAAAATATCTTCATCATGAATTTCTTTCAAAAATTGATTCACAGCAATGTCAACAGGAATGTGTCCTGAACTGTTCTCACGGCAAAGATTATTCAGAGCTCCTGATCTTTCTTTGTTGATTTCTGCTTTTTCATCTTGATCTTCCAATGCCAGTAAGGTTTTTGTAATTTCAAGGGAACTTTCCTTAACAGAAAGATGTAAATAGCTGTTGTGTGCAAAGTCAACAATAGAAGTATTTGTTGTTCTTTCAAGTAATAAATGAAATGTATCTTTTCGTCCTTCAAGAATAGCAATTGAAATTGGTGTATGCCTGTACATGACGCTTTGTGTTTCAAGCATTTTTTGTGTGATATTATGATCCAACTTGTCAAAAAGGAATCGTAACATTTTTAAATTGCCTTGATATCTGTAAATTTAATGAATTACTATACATGCATTGTGTATAAATAATGTATCAAAAAAGATTACTTACGCAGCATGATGTAATGCGGTCCATTCGTACGCATCGGGAATAGAAGGATCAGCTCCAACTTCTAACAATGCTTCTAAGCATTCAATATTATCCTCACAAACTGCAAGAAGAAATGGTGTCATTGCACTATTAAAACTTTTTTGATTAACTATTTTTTCAAGAGTTTCATCATCATCTTTTCTAACTCTGTTATATGTATTCGCCAATTTTTTAATTGATACTGATTTGTTCATTTTAACAGCCCAATGGAACGGTGTATCTGCCTTGGGTAAATAAAACCAAAATAAGACTCGCCCAATTTTAAGAACTTCCTCGTCGTTAAAGAATAGATTTCGAATATTAGAATTTTTACAATACAATGAAGAAAACTTTTTTAGTGCATCAATTGGCCTTGTGCTTAAGAAATATTCGATGCTTTTGGTAGAACCATAATAAGCTGCCATGTGAAGAAAAGACGGATCGACTGCTTGTTTAAGAATATAAGGATCATGCCGAGAAATCCATGATTTCTTCTTTCTGCCATTAACATCAAGTCCAATATAAGTCCTAAAAAGTACAAATATTTATTAATTTAGCCCTTAAAATTTCGAATAATTTAAAGCATACGTTGGCTCAAGTTTCTTTATAGCAGCTTCAATTTCATCATCTCTATCGATATTAAACATTCCAAATGAGTTTCCACCAGCTCCATACCTAATAGTCGAAAAAAGGTTAAAACTACTATCCACTCATAATTTTATACAATCATTAATTTTAAAGTTTATTAACTCTATCAGCAAATCAACTACATCAACATTATCGATGAAAATAGCGCATTGCATGAGATTATTGTTCTGCCCAAGCAAAGGTGCATATGTTTTTGTATTTCTTATTAATCGCATAACTATATCTGTCACGTCGTCTTTATCATCTATCATAACGTCTTTATCATCTATCAATTAAGAATCATTAAGAATAAGTTATAAAAACAGAACTGTAGAAGTTAATTTTGAATGCTACTATAAAAACACATTACCTTTTACTTTTTTATAATGTTCAGCCCACGTCAGTACTTCTTTGATGACTCTGACATGATTCATGAATACAGCCAGTGCAAGTCCGTTAAATCCTCCCAGGCCAGCTCGTTTTTTCCAATTTATAGATACAAGTTCATATTTTTCTGATAATCTATAACCTGCGTGTTGCAACATGTCAAAAGCAGTAGTGACAGTGTGAACTGATACTTTCGCATCTTGTATTTCGTCGACTACAGCGTCTTTTGGTAACTCAGGTTCAGGTTCAGATTCAGATTCATAATCGGATCCACAAACATCACAATATCCTAAAAAAAAATAAAAAAATAAATATGCTACTACAAAATCTCAAATAATAAATTATATATAAGAAGAAAATAAAAACCTAATTCATAATTATTAACAAATGATTTGTTCACTTTAGGTTCTTGGTCACTTGAGTCCTTAGGTCGATATTGTCGTTCTGCTATTTTTAAAATTTGAATAGCCATATTTTCATATCCTTTATAACATGCCAACATAAATGGAGTCATGCCATTTTTATCTTGAACAGCAATAATAAGTTCTGCGCTCATACGTTCAACAAGCTCAGCATTATTATCCCATACAGCCTGAAAGAGAGTTGTATATTTTTCATGAACGGTTTTCGGTACGAAAGATTTATTCAGATATTGAAAAGAAACAATATTTTTATAGATATCATTAGAAGTTGGGTTCCTTGTATCTTTTACTATATCTTTTGTTTTTTTCAAAATATTAAATATTTGTTGACATGATGGTATTCGTGTAAAGAATTGATTTTGATGCTCAATAATTTGTTTCAATATCTCAATCTGTGATTCAAGTATAGACTTCATAGTCTGTTTATCAATTTCTTTTGTTGTTTGTAATTCATGTGTATTTATCAATTCTAAATGCTTTTGTTTCTTAGCGAGTAACTCTTCTTTTATTTTTAATTCTTCCAGTTTGCGTAAAATAGTGTGTTGATCTTCTTCAAATTCAAATTTTAATTGTGCGCCACGTTCGTACAAATCTGTGAAAGATTTATCAAGTTGTCGTAATTGTTCCATCAACTTCTGATTTGTCGATTTTTTTTCATCAATTTCATGACAAATTGGATCCAAAGATGTTAATTTGAAAATAGTATTATTCAATTGTGATTCATCTACCCTTGAAAGTAAAAATCCAATATATGAATCGATGGGATGTTTCTCAAGTTCAGAAGAAATTATTGATTTGATATGTGCAATATTAAATTGCCTTTCAATGGCATCAGAAATCATAAATTTTGGTAAATCATTAATATTATTATTAATGTGCTCAATCACTTGATCTAATAGAGTTTTTGATTGATCACACAAAGTATTTATGTGAACACCGGCTTCAATCAATAAACGCCAAAGACCATTTTCAAGAGATAATGCTATTGGTTGTTCTATATTATCATATTCGCTACGTTCAATCAGTGCACTCCGGCGGTCTCTAATGCTATTTTGATATTTGATATGTTCATCAAAATCCTCCAAAGTTATAGATGCCTGTAAATTAACAATGCAGAAAGCAGTTAGTGATTATTTTTAATTATTCTTAATAAGTACCGTTATAAGATACAATAAACAATTACTTACATGAGCACCATATTTCAATAACAGTTCTAAAATTTTTTGATTTCCATTTTTTACAGCAATTGTTACTGGAGACTGTCGTTGCTTATTAAGAAAATTAAGTATTTTATTCGCTTTTGGATCTATATCCAAAAGCAATTTTACAAGTTCCAATTTTCCTAAAAAATATATTTATATATTAGCTTTTTTTTTCAAATACTAATAAAATTCTCACGAATGTCATAATATAAACAAACTATACCAATTTGCACAGCTAAATGTAGTATAGTATTATAATCATGATCGAGCTAAAGTCAAAAGAATCAGTAAAAAATAGTTAGTTCAAAATAATAGCTGTACAGTGTGTTTCTTTTTTCAACAAATAATCATCATACTTGTGATGAATTTGCTCCATTCTCTATCAAAATTGATGCAATTTCAAGACCAATCTGTGTGTCCCTATTTCATCAAAGAATTCAAGACGAATAAGAGAACATCAAAATTACAGTACAGTAATACAAAAACGATGTAATCCTACCTAACCAAAAGGCATAAACTTAATGGATAGTAAATTTTAAGAACATTTGCACGGTAGTAATCCTTGTTTATAGTCTTAACCATTATACGTCGACGAACATTAGCTCCAACTTCAATTAAACGTTTTACAACGTCAATGTGACCAAATAGAATTGCATATTCGAGTGAAGAAAAAGAATTATTCCATGACTCAAAATTTATATCAAATGTATCATAGTTGTTTTCTTCTTCTTCTTCTTCTTGTTGTTTTTGTTCATTATCAGCATTCTGTATTGCATCATTCAACTCATTTGGATCTATAATATCAAGCGACTCATCAGAGTTATTACTCTCAGTTTCATCATTAGTTCCAACCAAAGACTCTTTAATAATTTCATTTTGCACTGTGAGTTTTTCATTTTGAGCATTCTTTTTTAAAAGTTCTTCAAGAATATCTAAATTTCTTGATTTTGCAGCTAAATGGATTGGACTGAGTCCATCAATCATTTTGATTGTAATTTTCGCACCACTTTCTATTAATTCTTGCACTGCTGCGAGATGTCCCCCAATCACTGCCAATTGAAGTGGAGTTCTACCAAAATGATCTCTAGCATCTAAGTCAAGTTCTTTTTCATTTTCTTTATTTTCTTGAATAATTTTTCGAATCCATAAAGCATCACCTTTAGCCGCTGCAATACATAAATTTTCTCGTGGTTCCGTTATGTAAGCATCGGCAACCCATTCATCTTGAGATTTATGGGAATTAGGACTCATTATTGGATCAAAATTATCGAAGAATTTTAATTCACCACTAATGTAATACCGATTATTTTCTTCTTGTAACTTAATTTCATCCGGAGTTTGTGGCTGGGGACATGAACCACAACAATCTCGAAAAATTTGATACATGCTGCCAAAAAAGCATGGATGACGGTGTAAATATGGACTTCCTAAAGTGAGTTTTCTTGTAGAATTTAATTTCATATCCTATTTTCAATCAGTCAGTTACGTATTAAAAACAAATAAGAGTTTTTAGCTACATAACTATTAAGATCTCAAAAAAAAAAATACGTACCTTCTTATAAACCAATTCTCGAATATCGTCTGCATCATAATTTGGACCATACGGAAGGCTAACTATTTCATAATCATTATTTTCAAATTTACTAATTTTAAGGTTGGATGTCCTTGCAAATTGACGCGTTTGATAAGTAGATTGTAAATTTGGGCGCACAAACTTTGAAAAAAAATATATAGTAGTAACAAGCCAGTTTAATGGAAACACTGAAACTCCAAAAGAACACAGACAACTTCCATATTCATTACCTGTGTGCCTCTATTTTCAATATAATAGATTCGTTCATCAGGAGTAGGCAATCTAAGTACATGTATTATGCAAAATACTATAAATTTCTAACGATATCAATGATTATAATTTGTGTTAAATTTTCAGAAAAACATACTTTTCGAGAACAATTAATCGTGCAAGCCCTTTAAGCCTATGATATGGACGCTGAAAACTTGCAGGATTTAATCGATCCCTTTCGTTTTAAAAAAAATATGTTGTGTAAATTTTTCAAATAGAATATTACATGAAATTTATACATGATTAATTGCAATAAATAAAAACCTTTTTAAATCGGGAAACTTGATCTAATTTTCAACGTGAAACACGAAATATAATGGGATTTGTGTGTTGAGTGATATGTGTAGAAATTTATATATGATGTTATATTAGAAAGTTATATATAGAAAGTTATGTATTATATATTAATAATAATGCTATAACATACTTCGAATCCCCTTTCTGCATATTTAGCGAGACGAGTTTCATACGAGTGGCTACTTTGTTGTATTTCGATCAAATTGCATTGAGTTATCAATGCTTGATGACCTAGAAAATCGAATCAAAATGAATAATAAGCAAATAGATATCATTGTATTTTTTTCAATTATTTCTATTATAATCGATCTTTTTTTTTCTTACCTCTTGAATTAACCCATACATCCTTGCCATCATAAGCAACGCATGTAGAAGCACTACATTTAAAATCAAGAATTAACTTTTATACGATATAGTTAATTAAATATTAAAATTTTTCATACATGTCAACATTTGCAAAAAGTTCAGCAGGAGTTCTGTAAATTTTTAACACAATCTAAATAGTAAATTCATAAATTAATAGGGTAATGGCAGTATATAAGAACAATTTCAATTAATATTATATAGTTATTCACCTGAATATGTCGATAAGGATATTTGCTAACTATATTCACACAATTTTTTCCACGAACGCAAATAACTTTAAAAGGCACATTACGACAAACAGTTTCATATATATGAAGCATTTTTTTCTTTGCAGTTTCTTCATCAATTCCATAAAAATGAATATCTATATCAGAACTAGCAAAAACTTCGGTATAATTCTTCCTAATTTTATAAAGATTATTTTGATCTCTGGCAGGAAGTGGAAGAAGGCAAGCAAGAACTGATCCTCCTATGTAATATACAAGAATCTTAAGAATCAAGGATTTTTTGGATATTTAATTATGAAAATCGAATCTTATTTTACCTGAAACAATGGTATTATTCCAATCTAAACCATCAAGACTGCCTATAATAAATTATCATTAGAAAAATTATCTTAGAAATAATAATAATAATAAGCATTAATAAAAATTAAATAATTGATTTTTTTTTTTTACCTTCAGTAAACAATTTCCAATTTCTTTTAAAAGCTTCAATACCCCCTTTACAAATTGAAAGTTGCCCATTTTTTCTCCTTTTTTCTTCAGGAAGAGGCATTATATATAAAGAATCCTCATGAGGATCCTTACCAACTTGCCGAGGTTTTGCCCCCCAAATATCCTCATTTTTGTAAACACTAAATAAATCGAGGTATGGTTTTTTTAATAAAGGGTCATCAGGTGAATTTTCGAACAAATTTAAAAGAGTAGCTCCTCGTGCTAAAGCCGAATTGATACCCTCTTGATCTTTCTTACGAAAAGATGAAAGGTATGCGTCGGCGAATTGGTCTTTCATTATTTAGTTTTATCAAAAAGTTTATATACGTATTGAACGTATAGAGTATTTATCGTATGAAATATAGCAATATAAATAGTTAAACTGTTTCACAGAAGAGATAAAGTCATAAAACCTGCACTTCAATATGTACTAACTCTTTTAAGTTTTTTGGTTGATCGTAATGCAAACATTTGAACCTAAATTCCCTTTTCAGCCAAAAATTTGTGCTGCCTCTTACGTTACATGTGAATCATAATCTACGAAATATAACTTGTGCGATGCACTAACCATACGAAAACTTGACGATATTATTACATCATTTGATCGCAACTCTTTGTTATCGCAATTTTTACTTTACATTTTTAGGGAACAGGTATTTCCACACCCGATTTTGATATTTCCACGCCTTGATCACGAGCATAATACATAAATTTTATTATAGTTGCAGCAAAAATGAAGTGGCATATTACATCACTGAATTTTTAAGCGGATCACACATCGCAATATCTTTATACACAATTTCACAATAATTTATAATTTACAATAGTGTGGAAATACCTGTTCCTCATTTTTATTGTTATCTTGTATTGGATTATTTGTTATAATTTATATTTTTTCGTACACGTAGGCACAAGATCTTAATTGACAGTGTTACATAGAATTTTCTTGAATAATATCATCTAACCCTATGTCTATCTAGATCATAACAACAACATTCCTGTGAATATGATGATGCCAAGACTCACATGTGAACCTATGTCGCGTAGTATGTATAGATTCGCTTACGCATTGAATTTATTAGATTATTATTGGATAGACTTAGTATTAACTAGAAAATATTATCGTGTTGTGCTGTATATCTTAGTCTTCAAAAACATGTATATACAGATCTAGGTAATACGGATATGGGTGTACAATATATACTTAAAAATTATCATACTCATCAGCTATAATATATATATGGTACGGCTTATAAATTAAAAACCATATCGTATTATAATAATATATATTATTATATCGAATTAGTATGGTATGATTTTTAATTGAAAAATAAGTAGCTGCGCGACATTATCACGCCAAATCAGGAACGGATGAATGTAAGCTTAATTTAGAAAATCAGCTCCAATAATACGTACAGTATCTAGTTTTGAATTCAGATCAGGGCCACGTAAAAATTTGTATTTATTATTTATATGATTTACAAATTTCTATAAATAATATCCAAATTTTCACGTGGCCCTGATTCAGATAAATAAATATATTGATATGAGACGCTATAATTTAAGCAAATAAGAAATTTCAGAAGATTTTAAAATATATATAGTATAGAATGTAAAATACCTCTTTAAAAAACAAAACATGACAATCCACCACAATTTTCTAATGCTAACCCTAATAATATTAAAAATAGGAGTATTTCACGCCCTATACCATACGGATCTGTTCACACTTATCTGCATAATTTAAAATGTGGATAAGAGGCTAAATGAAACGTGAACAGCCCATATTAAATACTTAGACCAATTAGACCAATGAATAATCACTAAACTTAGAGATTAAGGATGCTCTCAATGTGATTAGACAGTATCGAGATCATGCATAAGCACTACGATTAATTATTGAGATACGTTAAGGTTTTTAAAAATTTTAATTTTTATAAAATTGATGTACATAGGGGATTGGGGTATCAACAATAAGTTTAATCACAAACTTAGTGCAAGACATATAGTAAAAATCACTATTGAAGATTTTTTTTGATTGATCTTTGAAAATTTCAAGTTATATTAAATTATGAATAAAAAATGCCTTCACATGAGCTTTAATAACTCTTGTTATATTGATTTTTTTTAATTCTGCAAGTTGATATTTATTCTTTAAGAGTGTCTCTATCATGTAATAATCGCATATTTTTAAATATATTAATTGTTTTTATATTACATCAACTAGCATTTATTAAACATATATTAATATCATTTTATTTTTATTTTTATTTTTTTTTAATATTTGGGGTGTAGCTCCCGCCCCAGACTTTTATTAATACTTAAGTAGATTGACATATGATGGTGCCATAAATACATACATATTATATATCAGAACTAGAACTAGGACATCAAGTACTAAGACTA